TATGGGACGCGCAGGACCACTCAAGCAAAACCTTCAGAGATGGGCTGAGCATCAGCATTTCCATACAGCCATGAGTCCTTCCAGGGGCTCCCTCCCCTGAAACTCTAATCTTCTTTAACAAACGTAGGGGTGGAAAAGGGGATGGGGGAGCGTGAGCTTGCATGTGTAACATGAACGTTTTCCAAGCAAATTAGGTTGAGTGTGACTAATAGAGATAATTGACTGGGCACTGGGAGAGAGAGGGGTTGCTAAATAAATAAATGCACTTGGTGGAAGATGAGATGATATGTTACCAAAGAGCACAGCTTCTGATGTCTCATGAGCCCTTCAGTGCATTGGTTTTTTGTCACTTTACTTAAGCATTTCATGGTTTTTCTCTAATAAAGCCTTCTACCTCTTCATTCTCATTTCCACCCACTGGCTTCTCACGTCTCTCTTCCCGATGTCTTTTCAGCTGCTCTTCTACAACTCCCAGGGTTATTTTAGTGATTTTCATTTTTAATTTACTGGGTTGTTCTGTTGTTTTGTTTCAAAACTGTGGCATTTTAAATGTCTGTAACAGTGAGAGTTTCCATGGAGTCAACAAGCAGCTGCAGTCACTGATGTTAGACAGATTCAGGGTGGAAGGAGAGCTTGAGTGCAAATTGCACGGAGACGACAGGGTTGTGCTGAGGTTACAGTCAGCAAAGAGAGCTGGATTCTTCTTCAGGGCAGATGTCTCTGTTAGCAAAAGCAATAGTCAGAGCTGGAGGTAGCAACACTGATGAACAGCCACACAGGGAGCTCGGTAGGAGAAGGACTGTTAGAATAGCATGTGAGCGAGAGCCCAGAAGTTACGGGTTTGTGCTGGGAAGACTTTAGAGGGAGGTGTAAATGGAGAAAGAAAAACTGAAGCATTCAAAATAGAAGCTGCTGAAAATTTTTCTTCTGCCAAGGCAAGTGTTAGTTCAGGTGAGGTGGAGCTGGAAAGATTTAAGGCTCATGTTGTCTATCCTCAGCATTTTTGAACACGACTTCCCTTGTTTGTTCTTTTTTTGGTTTGCACATTTTGTTTGTCTTTCTCACTAGAGGTAAACATATGTTCAAATATGATCCTCAATTCCTGCTTTTTCTTGGACTCTGGGGCAGCTGAAGAGAGTAGCAGGGAGTATAGCATACCCTCTGTCTCTGGCCTAAATTATTCTCTCTCCCAGTTACATTCTGCTTAATGGTTTGCTTTCTAGCCTCTTCTTTCTGGCTGCTCCTGACACACACAAACACAGCTGAGAGCCAGGATGGTGACCCAGGAAGCCTTTCCAGACAGAGCTCCTGCTCCTTCTTTAAGGCCTCTTTGTACAGCCAGACTATGTGACACGTGGATGAGGGGCAGGACTGGCTCTATGTAAATGAAATTAGCATCTCTCCGTCCTTTCTGCTAGTAACCAACTGTAGAGGCTGTAGGTCTTCTTGCCATGCGTCTTGCACTGTTTACATCTTTTCTGAGCATATGCTAAGTTCTGGACTAAAGTTCACTCCACTTGCTCTTTAGCAGGATGACTGTCGTGGTTTAACCCCAGGCATCAACTAAGCACCACACAGCAGCTTGCTCACCTCCTCCCTCCCCCTGTGGGATGGGGGAAAGAATCAGAGGGGAAATACAAAAAAGGACTCGTGGGTTGAGATAAGATCAGTTGAATAATTGAAAAAATTGAAAATAAATGAAATTGAATAATAATACTTGTAATACTGGTACTACTACTAATGATAACAGTAAGTGATGAAAAAATACTACTAGTGATAATAATATTGAAAATAATATATAAGGGGGGGGGGGGGGGGGAGGAAGAAGAAAAAAAAAAAGAAAGAAAAAAACAGTGATAAAATTGCTCACCACTCTCCAAACAACACTCAGCCAGTCCTCAAGGAGTGATTGCACCTCCCAACCAACTCTCTCCCCCAACTTACATACTAAGCGTGATGTTTGATGGCATGCAATGTCCCTTTGGTCAGTCTGGTCAGCTGTCTGGGCTGTTTCTCCTTAACTTTCCCCTTGACAGGAGCAGTATCAGAAACTGAAAAATCCCTTGGTTTAAAAGAAACATTGCTTGGCAACAACTAAAACATGAGTATGTTGTCAACATTCTTCTCAGCACAAATTCCAAACGTAGCCTCATACTAGCTGCTGTGAAAAATTAACTCTACCCCAGAGAAAACCAGCACAATGACGTCACCTCCCATTACACCTGAGCATCAGAGTCCGGAAGAGGTACATGTTCTCCCATTGTCCCTCTGTGGCATTGTATCGCAGACTTGAGCTTTGTGACCCTGAAGAGCTAGGGCTGGTTGACCTTCCTGTGAAGCCTTTCAGCAGCAATTTGTCTGCCTCTAAAAACCCGGCAATCGTGTCGCTGTGTTCTCGTGCTGTGGTCAGTTAGCTTAGCTGCTGTAGGTCATTGAACAAATCCATTGAACAGATGGATTCCTGAGGTACAAAAACCATCAGGGGACCCTCCACCACTACCCAGGCTCGCTGGTGCTACAGCCTTTAAATCAATTACAGCCATCCCTATCTCAGAGTCTCCAGAGACTACGTGATGTGTAATCAAACTGCAAGGGTTAAATTCCTGCCATCCGAATTCATTGCTGCACATAGCTATGATTTTCATAATGCTCAGGCTGGCAGAACTGCAAGAAGGGAATTACAGTGATCAATATGCATCACCGTCAGAGCATGATAAAGGTTCAGCCATGGCTTGTTCTGCTTCCTGCAGAGTACTGCAGCCCTCAGCAGCTGAGTTGGGGCCAGCGCTCTCCATGCTGCCAAACACTGAGAAAATGCAGGTGTTGAAATCTTGGGGTTTTGGAGAAAAACACTGAACCACCTTTGTACCTGTGCAGTGTCTAAAGATTGAAATAAGTTTTTGAAGTCCCTGAGCGTTTTCTGAAGCACCTCAGTTCATGGCTTGTACTTACTTACACGACAAAGACGGTGGGCAGACTGCCTGTCCCTTTGACTTCTTCTAAGTACTGTGAAGGGCTTGGTAATAAAACTGCATTCCCTGTGATTTGCACAGCACATCAAAAGGATGCCATTTAAAGCAAGCTGTGCCAAAAAAAAAAAAATTAAGAATTTGACCAAAGAGCCTTATATAAAACAAGTTTCATTTCTGGCGTAACTTGCTGCTTTGTCGGGCTGAAAAGACACCTACTGCCTTTTTCCTTTGAACTTGCTTGTGCACTGGCTAATGAAGATGAGGAGTTCCAGCTGGCTGTGGAAAACCATGGATTTAAATACTAGCAGAGGGATAAAGGAAATAAAGGGCCGATGCCAGTGCTCTCTCCAGTTCCCTTTTAAACACAGACAATTAGCAGGATAAATGGGAGGAAGACTGTCATACCAGCAAAAAGACAGGGGCCAGTCCTGCAGTCTAGAACCAGCAGAAGTCTACCTCCTTCTTTGACCACCACTGGCTTTTTAAATCCACGATCACACATCAGTTCATCAATAATGAACTTACATGAGGAACAGCAATAAACGCAGTCCCCAGAGTCATCGTCATGGTGGTAACACTCCTTCCTAACCTTGGGGAAGTGTGCTGAGGACAAACTGCTCCACGCCTGCAGCCACTCCAGGATGCTTCCCAAGGAGAGGGCTCTTCCCATCAGTGAGGAATGTGTATCTGTCACCCCACACCTTCTCCGTGAGCAAGAGGCATTGGCAACCCCCACGTGACGATGCATCTGTTTTTAGTTATGGGGTTTATTTATGTTACTGTCTGTACAAGCATCCCGTGTGTATGTAGGTCCTGCACGTGTAGAAGCAATGGAGTTGTTATAACCCGGGTAGTGCTGGCTCTTACGATTTTATCACAGCTCTCCTAAGATGTTTTCCCTGGAGTTCCAGCTCTTGGTTGTATTTAAACACACAACGCATGAATCATGTAATTCATAATTTAAATGACTCTTGCTTACTGAGCTACAGGAGGGAGAAAGCAAAAATACATGACCCTCAACACTCCCACACCAAAAGTAAATATTTATTTGTTCTAAATTTTTGTGACACTTTAATCCGCCTTAGTGGTGAGAGGGGGGAAAGGGGGGGTCGATTTAGTCTTTCAGAAACATTTGTATTTAGCATTTCTGCAAACCTGCTGCTCTGCTCCTTTGGTATGTAGGCAGTCCGTGCAAGTGAAAGTTGCTCATATGTGTTCATAGCAGCAGTAGCAGGTATTGGTAACACTCACGGGGAGTCAGTGGAGAATGTGACAACTGCAGTATTGAGCAAGGGATGCTCCACAACCCTGGAAATGTTCCTGCATTCAAGTGAATGCTTCCTGCTATAGCATTTGTGGTTATGTGCTCCCAGTGACGTGAGCTAAACTGCAACTGTGTGGAAATGTCTGCCAGAGCAAAGCAGTAGGATGTTTCCCAAAGGACCTGCCAAATATTGGTGGATCAGGATCTTAATTTTTCAGCATCAGGACAGTAAATAGTCTGAATCTGAAAGGTACTTGACACTAGATATTTAAGTGCAGCACTGTGTCTCAGCATTACACTTCTCTTCCAGGATGAGAGCCATTGCAGTGCCATTTTTTGTCCCAGATGAAAAAACACAAATCCATTTTCAACAGCTCATGTGCTCAACACTTGACTGCGGGCTGTGAGCCTTTGTCATAGTGGCAATTTTGCAGGTATAGCAGAGGTGCAGAGTTTCCATGAAGCCTGTAGCTCACAGTTCTGTTCAGAGCTTGAATCTCAGAAGTACTCAGGCACTTGCTTATCACTTTCAGCCTGTTTCTGAGTCCTTCTGGCGTCGCTGAGTTAAGCATCTGTCAGAGTGAAGCATGCGCTCTTCTGTGCCGTGGTTTTAATGCAGGACTCTGCTGGAGTCATCAGAGGCTTTGGCCGGCTAATGAGTGTGGGGTTGGATCCCTTACCTCTCCTTATGTCTCTTCCTTTCAGGTGCCAAGATCTTTTTTAAACCTGTTTGAATAACCATTATTTTTAACCTTTCCTCACAGGAGTGTTTGCATTTGGACTTTTTGCCACTGACATATTTGTAAACGCTGGCCAGGTTGTGACTGGGAACTTGGCTCCCTACTTCCTGACTGTATGTAAACCCAACTACACTGGAAACGACTGTCGGGCCCACCACCAGTTCATAAACAACGGCAACATCTGCACTGGGGATGTGGAGGTGATTGAAAAGGCAAGGAGATCCTTTCCATCCAAACATGCGGCTTTGAGCATCTACTCAGCTTTATATGCCACGGTGAGTGCCAGTGACGCCTGCTGACTTGTATGAGAGGTTTTGGTCTGTGCGTCTAGATGGGGCCATTTTTCTTACAATGGGCTTTTGAAGAAAAGGAAGGGTTTTTTGGCAAGGGCTTTTTTCTTTATC